CCGTCAGCACTGAAATACCGGTCGGCCAGGCTACTGGTGTTGAAGACTCAGGGGTGCCATCCACCATCACAGCACAGTGCATGCGTTTTGCTGGCGTGATAGTAGAGCCTTCCTCTTCGACACGTTATCGGCACCATGGAAACCACACTTCGTCACGTTTGCTGTAATAGAAACCTCCGAGCATTGTGTTATGCGTTGGCTGGTCGTTTTCGTACACACATAGAGATTGTGGGATGGTCTTTGCAGATAAAATTCAACTCGAGGGGAAAGCGACCATCAGCGGGTTCATCGAACTTGGAGGGAAAACACTCATGTCTAGCTGCCACCTTCCACAAGCCCAGGCGAAGATTAAACAGGACAGCTCTGGGTAGAGTTTTGTGGCAAAGTTCCGAGCGTTAAAGACAAAGCATTCACAGCACGCCAAAGACGCGCTTGACCTACACCTTCAGTATTGTCATATCAAAGGCATCTACAACTTGAAGGCATATCCCCCACCATGGCTGACGCGCTCAACCATGACGCGAGAAGACATATCAAGCAGCTGATGACGCCATTGGAAGCCTCGTCATGGCTCCAGATTCGGTATGATTGTGGTGAATTGTGAGTCGTTAAGTGGACGGGGAGAGAGTGGCGTCAGGGTTGGGTATTTAAGCTTAGACCTTGAACATTGTCCAGCAAATGCCAGGACGTACTCAGACAAACTGGGGGTCTGTCGAACGGACAGGAGATGTTTTCAAGGGGCGGTAACTCAGTGTCGTGGATTTTTGGAGATGGGAAAGAGTGGTTTGGAATGATGTTGGTGGGAGCCCCAAGACCGGATATTCCTCTTTCACAGATTCACATCAGCTCCAGAGAGAGATTAGGAAGTGTACGGGCAAGGATCCAGAGGTATTGTTGTATTGTGAGAGTTTTAACCTGATTTCCGATACTTCACCTCTCAATCCTTTCGGTGCCCTACACTAAGTTACAAGCACTCTATTCTTACCCCGCCCATATCATTCCGAGTCCTTCCGCCACTCCATCGTAATGTTCACATGCGAATTCCTCGCCATCCACTACACTCCTCCTCATACTATTCCCACCTCGCAATCCCCATCACCTTTCCCAAAAATAGAAATCACACATCGCGAGACCACCGGTCTGGAAACTTGAACATCATTCTAATGTTGGCACTTCTGCGCGACTCCGTGAAAATTTTATGTGTTAATGAATGCTTGTTTGAAATGGAAACATCCAAGTCGGTGTAGTATAGTGGTGAGTACGGCTCGTTGTGGCCGAGCAGACCCATGTTCGATTCATGGCACCGACATCTTTTTCGTTAATTGTGCGTCCCGGTGGTTGGGTTTGGTGCTCTTTTTTTTGGTGTTGTCACCAATCCATGACTTGCACGACACGAACGACAGAAGCAATCTGTCCCTTTCTTCCCTCTCTTCCACCACACCTCCGCTTCCCACGCCATACTCTATGATTTTTCACGCTACCTTTTCTACGGTCTCTACACGTCCTTCTATCGCTCACCGCCGACCACCTTTCCCACCAAATCGCCACCACGGCGCATTCATCGAAACGAATATACAATCCTGGATGTGAATTCAGCAGACTTCAGCCACCGGTGATGGCTCTGGATGCGCGTTAGACCAATCGCGGCCATGAAGTCCCCGCTTCAGCTGGAGGAGAAATGTTCGTTGCGATGCCTCAAACGATGAATTTGACAACTTGAAAAATTCATCAACAATCTCAAAAAAGCTCACTCTGACTGCAACCGGGAGGTAGGACTGCCGTTTTATCCCCAACGTCCAACAACAAACGCTTAAGGATTATTTCTAGAGCCAGAACAGCTTGACGGAACGCACAACGAACAGTTGGAAACACTGGAAGACCGAAATACCTTGCCGTGGAGTCGCAGACCAATATCCGCTGCCAGAAACTATTCTGTTGCTCTTCTCCCTTGGTCTGGAAGTTCGTCTAGACCATCAGACTACTACTATGTCCTTCGCGGGGTCGTTGATGAACAACGGAACTTTGAGCTTGGCTTCAGGTCATCTTCGGCTCTCATGGTCCTTCATTGAATGTCCACCTCGATTATGATTTCTTGTTGCAACACCGTGCACCCACCTCTCCAATTCCACCTCTTGCACTTCAGCTGGGCACCACTGCATGTTTGCGCTCTCCCCCTCCCACATCTCTCTGGCTTCCAGCTCAGTGCTTATATTCCTTCCAGTTGGTTTGCGCCCTGTGGGTCTTTATGATGCATCATTGGAGCATTATCAGTCCAACTCGCACACACCCTTCCAATCCGGCTACTTGTTGGAAATCAAAGGAAACAGGAATCGGAGGGGAACGCTTGACCTGAACTACCGGTGTTTTCATCATCATCCTATTGGACATTCGGAGATGGCGCAAACGCACTAACCTAACCTTTGTTAGAGCAGCACATGTTGTCTACATTGAATTCGTCGGAAACTCTGAGTGTCAGCCGTCGTGGCGGCTACAAACCTCAGTCGCTTGAATCAAAATTACTATCGACCTGTAGAGCATTAAGGCCATCTTCAAGTTATCCCATCTCCTTCCACAAGCTACTTTACTCTTTACTTGTTGCTGCAAGGGTTGATCCTCTATACATGGATCTACCCCCCCCCCACAACACTCAATAATGCGCCGGCTTGTTGGGAGTCAATGCAGCGGGGAATTGGAGGAGAAGGGTTGACATCATATGAACTACGGATATTTTATCAGCTCAGATTATTGTGTTGTATAGTCTGGGGAGTCTTCTCAAGCAACTTACTAGTACAACAGGGAGGAATAAAAAGTGGCGTACACCGGTAACGCAAGTTCCGATTGAATAGAGAATGATTTCATCTCCCGGTCCTGGATATCATCCAGAGGGGATTTTATCCCTTAGTAGCTATAGAGAGCAAAAAAATACCATTCCGCCCATCTCGGCTTATCGCTTCAGCTACTATCCCACCGCGCCGGAATCTTCCCACAAATTCATCAATCCAACGGGAGTCTGACTACACCGCTCACGAATCATGTTGAAATTCTGTCCTCTGGCTTGGAAGCATATGGGCTTAAGGTTATAACGGAAACGGGGGAAGTTAGGGAGGTTAAGGCGAGGGAGCTGATAAAAGGTTGTTTGAGGGAGATTAAGAGCGGAAACGCGCACGGATATAATAAGCAGTGGCGGGCGGGGAAGAGGAAACCAGTTGAGAAGTGATGATGATACTCGCAATAAAAATAAGTAACACGATGAACTGAAATTAAAGAGACACAATTCGCTCGCTTTTATTGTCGTCGCAGGGATAATTCAGTACTCTAACAACTTTTGACCAGCTATCTGATGCACAATGGTTGACGTCCCGAAAAACCTCTACTCAAACAAATCGCATCCTCCCAAAAAAGAAAAAAAGAAAAAAGAAACTCGTTTTCATCTCTCCAAATACCACTCGATAGACGCCACTCCTTTTAATCTACTTCCGAGATGGGCTTCTCAGGCTTTTGAGCTTTAGCACTACAATACCGACCGGAACGAGTACTCCCAAAGCCGCCAGAACAAACATCAAAATCATAGCCCAAAACAATCGAGTCCAGGCTTTGAGTTGGTCCTCGGTTTGGAAGTATTCCTTCAGGAGGGAAACCGTCGGCAGTATCACAAAAACCCTGAACCACAGTCAGCGCCATCGTCAATTTCCGGACCGCAATAGTACATACGCGTAGCTTGCGAGACTAGCCACAATGAACGCAACGATACAAGTGACATTGATCCATTCAAACGACTGCTCGATGCTAAGTAGACGGTAAAGTACCGGTTCCGGGAGCACAGCCAGGCTTGACGAGCTGGAAGACGGCGATGTCTCGGATAGCACGCATGGCCCGGCTCCATGATATTCACCTGCACCTTGCATTTCATTTTCCATTAAGGTCAGTGTCATGACGCCGGCCGTTGAGACGACGACGAATCCTAAGCAGGTGAGGTGGGAGGCGAGGATGATATCGGCGAGCAGGATGTTCCCGAGATAATCCAACGTCCTGAAGAAGATGCTTGGTACCACGAGAGTCAGAATCGAATCCAGGATAGCCTATTCAGCAGGGGTTCACTCACAGAAGGTAACCCACTGCGAACCCAAACGAAAACATAGCCAGGATCTAACTGACAAGCGACACATTTTTGGTCCAATAATCCAGCTTTGTAAGGTTCTCAGTCCACACAGCTTGCTGCTTAGAAAGCTCCACTGCGCTGCTTTCATCGATTGAGACTACGGATGAGCCATTCGCAACTCGATTCGCTTCGTAGTTCGCATTGTTTGCAGCCAGCGGGTGTAGTGGGCCTCCATATGGCTGGGGGAAAGCATCCAAGTTTTCGAGTTCTATATCCTGGATTCCATGCGTGATGTAGGCTGGAAGATGCGCAAAGGATGGTCGCCTGACGTATGGTGGTGGTTCCATGGTGCTTTGTGTAGCGGGATCAATACGAATTGGCTTGAACCGGTGATCTCGTAATTGTCGGTGGAGGAGTTTGAGATTCGGTCGAACTACCGTGGCTTTCGTTATATTGGAGATGCAAAAGACTCAAATACAAGGCAACTGTAAAGCTCGGGTACCTTGTTAGGTGTGGGTGGTGAGGTGTCTGGGAGATGGTGAGAACATCCGTAATATAGCCCCTTCTCAGGTTCTCACTCACGCCCCGACATGAGTTGTGCCCCGCCTCTGACTATTAATGTTATCAAATAATTGGCCATCAGTGTTATATGTGTTGTTAATCGTTTTCACACAATTTATCTTGCTCGTTTCATTTCAGCTTGTATCTGCCCGGATACCAGTCAGTGTTACTCAGCAGCGTGGCGTGATGTTGTACTCGCAAAGGGTCCCTTGACTCCCTTCTTGCTCCTCCTGAGTATGCTAATTACGATTAATTATGAAAATAAAGAACCGGACGTGTCAATTACTTCATAGAGAACTTGTTCGCTCTATCCAAAAAGCATGAAAGAGCAAAACAATATTGATGTCTGCAGGACTCGAACCTGCGCGGGTTGCCCCACCAGCACCTGAAGCTGGCGCCTTAACCACTCGGCCAAAACACCATTATGTGCAAGAGACAACGTAACATTATCTATGAAGCTAATGTCAAAACTGACATTTAGTCAATTGAACACAGCGGCAAAAGCTCGGAAAAAAGTCGCTCTTCAATACTACAGGTTCGCGGCAGACCGCGCAGTCACAGCGG